GGTCACTATCTGTAGCCGAGACACAAACACACACACGTTCTGAGGTCCCTATCTGTAGCCGAGACATAACACACACACACGTTCTGAGGTCACTATCTGTAGCCGAGACATAACACACACACACACGTTCTGAGGTCACTATCTGTAGCCGAGACATAACACACACACACAACACACATCTTTGTAGATACGAAACCGGTATTTGCGGTTTTATGTACGTGTGATTTTTTCATTAGTTTTCAAGTAATGATAATTTTTTAATTAAACATTTATATTTTGTTTCATTTCTTTAATCACTTCCCTGAGTAAAATAGTTTGTGCGAAACTAAGTGTTTTTTTTGTATGATATGGAGTACGGGTATGTTTAATTTTTTGTATGATAATGGAGTACGGGTACGTTGCACTTTTTGTATGATATGGAGTATTGGTATGTTGCACTTTTTTGTATGATATGGAGTATTGGTATGTTGCACTTTTTTGTATGATATGGAGTATTGGTATTTTGCACTTTTTTGTAAGATATGGAGTATTGGTATGTTGCACTTTTTTGTATGATATGGAGTATTGGTATGTTGCACTTTTCCCGAACCATCATTCTGTCAAAATATACGTGGCATTTCTGGCACAAATACAAAGTATTAATCACAGTAAACGTCTATACCAGAAATGAAGTAACTGGTGACATATACGAAAATACGATAGTTGAAATATGAACTTGTCGTTGTCGTTAAACAGTTCATCCATGGTCGGTCTGGGTTTTACCTAACATAGGGATCAAACCCCAAATTTTAGCGTTATAAACTTAAGCTTAACGCCAGGCCTCACAAGACAAATGGAAATAAAACTAAGGTAGGCAGATTAGTGATACTTTGAAACAACAGGTATGAATTTTATATCAGTACGTTAAGTTCATCATCTTTCAGTGATCATTCTTAATGTACATCTTACATCATCCATCCTAAATAATCTTATAACAATATAAAACATCGCCAAATTCGATGACAAGGAACCCACTTTGAGATTAATAATGG